ACACTGTCTCACACCTATTTCATGCATGTGTGAGAGACCAGAGAGAGACTGAGAGAGAATGTGTATGAGAGAGAATGTGCTAAAAAGATAGAGATTGCTTGAGAGAATTATGTCTGTGGAAAGCCCCTCTGCTTTACTTTGCTAGGTTTCTCATTGATTCCGAATGGTTTCGATCTCTTGGAGACAGTGTCAGTGAACGGGATAAAGAGATACTGGGGAAATCCCTCAGGGGCCAGTCACTATGTTCTGTTCAGTCACTTGAATCTGATGTATTTCTGAAAAGGAAATGAATTTTGTCAAACGCTGCAATGATCAATGAATTTTGTAAACATGGTGTATGTGACACAACTTGACATGTAAATCCAGACACATGGGAAATACATGATTCTTATCAGTGCACAAGTATGGAAATGTTTATGTGTGTACGTATGTGAGAGAGAAACTGTGTGGGGACAAAGAGATTGTGAGGGCACGCGAGAGAGTGTGTGGCAAAGAGAGAGCATGAGAGAGAGAGAATGTAGCCAGAGAGTGAGTGTGAGAGAGTCAGCGAGCGTGCGCGGTGTGGATGAGAGTTTGTGTGCGTTTGTGTGTCTGTATGTGAGTCACTCAGTCAGTCAGTCAATTTGCTCAGTCAGTCGACAATGGAGTCAGAAGCTCAGCCTGAGTTTTGGATCTCACCACAGCAGATGGTTAAAATTTGAATTTTTTTTAAAAGCAAAGCTGTATTTAACAAAAAAGAAGCTGATCCAATGGAAATCATTGTCAATTATCAGGAAAACCCCATTTGGTTCACTGTGTCCTTCAGGGAAGGAATCTGCTATCTTTACCTGGTCTGGTCGACATGTGACTCCAGACCCACCCCAAAATGGTTGACTCTTAATCATGTGTGGGCAATTAGGGACATGCAATAAATGCTGGTCCAGCCAGTGATGCCCATATCTCATGAATGTATAAAAAGAGAGTGTGTGCTTGTGAATGTATGTGTGTGAATTAATTTGTGCAATTAAATTTAGAGTTTGGAAAACAAGGACAAAAGTTTTGTTCAAGAGCAGCAAAACAGGGAATGAGCATAAAATTACGGGGAACATAAAAACTGACTGTACAAGCTTCAGAAAGCACGTGAAGAGAAAAGTATTTGTGAAGAAAATCATAGGTCCCTGACAGTTAGAATCTGGGGGATATTATAATGGCAGAAGGTTTGAAAACACAATTTGGTTATGTCTTCCTCAAAAGAGGAAAAGTAAGCTCCCAGAAAATGCTAGAGAACCAAGGTCTAGTGAGAGGAAGAAACTGAAAGAAATCAGTGTTAGTCGGGAAATAGTGTTGGGGAAATTGATGGGATTGAAGGCTGCTAAATCCCCAGGGATTAATAATCCATATCTCCGTGTGCTTAAAGAACTGGAACGAGATGAGGCAATGGCCTACTGGTATTATTAATAGACTCAATCCAGGGACCCAAATAACATTCTGGGGACCCGGGTTCAAAACGTGCCATGGCAGATGGTGGAATTTGAATTCAATGATATCTAGAATTGAGAATCCAATGATGACCATGAAAACATTGTCGATTGTCAGAAAATCCTCTCTTGCCTCCTTTAGGGAAGGAAACTGCCATCCTTACCTAGTTTGGCCTACATGTGACTCCAGACCCACAGCAATGTGGTTGACTCTGAACTGCCCTCTTAGCAATTAGCAATGGGCAATAAATGCTGCCTAGCCAGCAATGCCCTCATCTCATGAATGAATTTAAAAAAAAAAACTAGACAAAATGAGAGCATTGTTGGTCGTGTTCTAAGATTCTGTAGGCTCTGGAACAGTTCACACATGTTGGAGGGGAGCTAATGCAATCCCTCTGTTTAAAAAGGAGGCAGAAAGACAAAAATAAAGTAGAGTATTATAGACCAGATAGCCAAACATCGGTTTGTAGTGGAAATTCTGGAATCAATTATAAAAGATGTGACAACAGAACA